CTAACTACTAAAAGAGATATAAGCCTAAGTTTAACTTACTTAATTTTAATTAGATCTTAAAAGTATAAATTAAAATAAAAATAAAAAGAGAACTAAACTTTATAATATCTTCTAATAATTATCCTAGTTAATTAAGTTTATATAAAATATTAATATATTTTAGAACTAACTCTTATAAGAATCTATAAACTCTACTTATTTTAAAATATTAAGTTTAACTATAGAATATAGAACTTATATTATTTAATTAATATTAAGGAGTTAACTAAACTTAATTACTATAAATTTAATTTAAATTTAAAACTTTAAAATTAAGTTATTAGTTTTTTTAATCTAAATCTATATAATTTAAAAGTAATTAAACTATTAAACTATATAATTTAAGTTTATATTAAAGTTACTTTAAAGTTAATAAGGGTTCTATATTATAATTAATATATAACTAAAAGTTAGAAGTTAGAAGTATTTTAAGAAGTAAAATAGGATAATAAAGTTAATATAAAAAAGAAAGTATAAAGGAAATAACTAGAAATAAAACTAATAGTTATATAATTAATCTAATTACTATTTTAGGATAGAAATAACTTTATAAGGAGTATTAGTAGTATTAGTTAAAAGGGGGTTATAAGATAATAATTAACTAAGCTTAAGCCTAAGGCCTAAACCCTAGCCTAAATCCCACCTTTATATAAGGGATCAGCTACACTACTTTATAGCTAGGCGCGCCTAGCGCTTATAGCTAGATTAATTAAGCCACTTCACGCACCTTCTATAAGTCTTTCAAACCACCAAATAAGTTGCGCGCAACTATTTTAGAGACAAATCAGAAGTACCACGAAGCACTTCATCTTACTATAAGAGGTCAGCACTTTGGAACGATTCTCGTAGCTATGCGCAATCGGCCCTACCTTCTGCGTGATGAGACCAGTTGACTACCCGGAATGCGAGCCAAAGGCCCTGGCAGGCTCGCCCAAATTGAGACATGTGCCTTGCTTGAAGGTGTCGCTCCCTCCATCAGCTGCCCATGAGGTGATTCTCCGAGTCCCGCAGCTGTTTGACGGATAGAAATCGGCCACCTGGCGGCCGCCGCCGTACTTCTCGACACGGAATGAGTTCGTGTTGAGAACGTTGGTGTCTCTGCAGGTGTTGTCCCAGACGTTGACCCTCTTGCTCTCGCCTTTGCAGTCTTTTCCGTCGAAGATGGTGATGACGTACCCTTGGACAAAGGCGAGGCAGAGGAAGGTGGTGAGGGCCTTGGCGACGTACATGATTGCGGAATAGGTATGCGCGCTTGAATTTGGGATTTTGAGTAGAGTGGCAGAAGTTTTGAGTGAATAGGATATGAATTGAAAGGATTGTGAATTTGGTGGTGAGATGGAGAAGGAGCAGAAACTCTCGGGGGAAGCCAACCCTCTTTATAGTTTCATTAGTCGGTGGCAGGACTCTCCAAACGTCTCTCTTGCCTCACCGAGCTCAAATATTTCAATCGCGACTCGCGTGACCTACTTCCGCCTTGAGTATGTGGTACATGATGCGGCCAAGCGATCCTGTGGAGAGGAGATCTGTCAGATCTTGTGGTTTAGTGCGGCTGTGTGGTTAGACAATGTAAGAAAATAACTGCTTTTGGCAGTCTTGCGCTAGTATCTCACCTCTTGTTTCTCAAAAACATCAAGTCAGCCTTGCATCTTCACGAGACAATACAGCCGAGTATCTCAATAAGGTAGTTAATCGTCGGAATTCTTCCGAATTAATTAGCCCGAGAGACTCGGATGTGATGATTTGGAAAATGCGCCGCGATCTGCTGGTGAGGTTTCACCCGCCCGCCTCTTGTGTAAAGCAATAATCAACTTGCTAAATTTGCACAAAGCTTGCTGAGACTTGCAGGAAGGTCTTCCATCAGCCTTGCTCTTCTTATCCCCCTTGCGCGACGTTCTCTTTTGAGACGCCGACTGGTCAGGCTCACTGGGCGACTTGGGAGCCGGAGAATCAGCGGCTTTGGCGTCACGACATCTATAAGATTTTCTCCTATAAATCTCGATAACTTAGTTTATATATATTTCTGGATTGATCTCAGATAACCCCTTGAGCTGTGTCCCTAAGTCCGTAGCTATAAAAGCCCCTTTTCACGAATATCTTCTCGGCTTGTAGCCCAAGGTCAGAAGCGGAATGCGTCTTGTTGTATTGGAAATTAGAATTTGCGGTGATAACACTGGGAAAGAGCTCATATTCTTCTACTTGCCTCACGGCGTGCGTCTACGACATGACCGACCGATACCTTCGTGGCCGAATACTTGGCCCGGGAGGCCGGAAATCGGCGACAGGGGCCCGGCGAAATTTCCCTACTATGAGTCTCAATTTGAGCAACATTTGAATTCTCCGCGCCATCATGGTTTACACTCTACGTTGTCAATGACTCAGTGCCCTGAAGCATTTGCTCAGGCGTCGAACGCGACGAGGAGACAGGGTATTTGATTTATAGACAGACTTTCTCGGCCTGAAATCAACAGTAGCTCTTAATTGTGGGCAACTGCGAAGGGAGCTGCAGGTTTGAGGGGCTTGACATAAATTGGGGTAAAGGTGCTAACGTGGAATCCATCAAGGGCCAGATACGAACCAAGAACGATGTGAATAAGGGGAAGTGGTACCCAAAAAGCTAGATGTACTGAGGTCTCTCTAGGCGACTGCAACATGGCTAAGGATATACGAAGTATTGCTCTGCTGGGAAGCAATGCCTCCTCATCCTTCCTATCTGCTGTATATGAAGTATCCAGGCTAAATAATCTCAAGTCGATTTGCTAGATTGTTACAAACATCCAGGCAATGCTCCCCAGTGTTAACCTGGGGTAGTGATGTGACGCGTAGTTTATCCCGCAGAACTTGAGAGACGAGCTCGCTGAACTCAATTGTGTGGTTCATCAAACTCAACCCGTGGGTACCCTTATATCACAGCTGAAAGGTGCTGTGATGTTATAAAACCTTGGCTGCAGACGGAGGGTGTTCGGACAAGCGGATGCCTTCTCACTCAAGATGGTTAGAGAGATCTACCATCTTTTTGGGGAATGATGTTCATTGAAAACACCTTGCTAGGACGTCATGGTGTTATGAATCCATAACTTCAAGGTTGAAAAAAGCTCTGTTTGTCGTAATACTTAGAAACTGAGGCTGGACAACGGCGGTAGGGGTGTTAACGGCGTTCAATTGGAACACAAGTTGTCGTCGCACGAGTTTCGTAATGAGTAGACGGCTTGCGCTTGAATATGCTTGCAATCACAACCGGAAAGATCGATTATCTGTCTCGCACCATACATAGCCGCCTCTAAGGTACAGGTTTTATAACTGCCGCATGAATGCAAATCTCACGCGATCAAGCTTGCAGCTAGCTGCTTTAGACCCGCCCTCGTTGTTTGAGATAACCTCGGTCCTTCAGTAAAAGAATTTCGAGCGAGTGAGAATTATTACGACGACACTGGCGCTTGACTATTATCTCTACATACCCGAGAATCTGGGAGCAGAAGAGGTCTGGAATGTGTAGGGGCCTTCAACTGGTGACCTTTCCCGAGTGAGTCGATACGGCTGCTGCAGGAACGCAGCCTAACTCAAAAGGGCACATCTGTAGACGCCCGATTGTGCCGCTTAATCCGAGAGCTTGTGTTGGTTGTTGATAGTTGGCTCCGAGCTGAATCGACCTTCCCTTTTTGTAGCTTATGCCAGGGTTTACCGATGGGGCCGAAGCCTATAATGACTGTTGGAGTGTTGGTCGACGATAAAGAGGCCCCTGGGTCCTCGTATTTGGTGACTTTCTGGATTTGTCACGTCATGGTCAGCTTTCTGCATCTGGGATGGGATTAGCATCATGGGGCACCTTCCTTCTGAAGGACCAACCATGACAACGGCCGACCGAAACACGTTTCGTTCCTCGACTTTCGTGAACATTTAAAGGCGGTCCCGGATCTAACGGATCGGAAGAAAGATAAGAGAAGAAAGCATCTTGTGAACAGAGCTCAACTCTCATCCTCGGGACTTCGGGAGAGCCCTTATCCTTCACTGCAATGATCTTTGGGCCATTCATCGCCATGCTCATAAACCCGTTCAGACCTCGCGAAGGCCCGCCAACCTTCCAAGAGGAGTATCGCAGCGGCGACTACAAACCAACCTTTGTCGACGCCTGGCACGGTCCGCAGATCGTAGCGCCCGACACCCCCTACGTCGCGGCCGCCAGCAAAAACACTCTATACTTCATCGACACCCGCTTCAACCCCGATACTGCGAGGCATATCAAGGCGCAGATCGAGTGGGCGTCGGTTGCAGTCGGCCCGAGCCACGTCATCAACATTGACGAACTCGCGGCCACGGCAGAAGTGAAAGAAAATGTTACCGGCGAGACACAGTTCGTGTTCGACCCGGCGTACGCCAGGGTGCTGTTCGCGAGGGGGATTAACAGGCGGAACCCGGCGCTGAGACTGCCGGAGCATGAGCGGGCTGGCGAGTGGTTGGTGAGCTACGAGTGTAATTGCACTAGCTTGGCGGCGGGAGATTCATGATGGGAATTTTCCTCCGGCGCCGGGCTTACGAGCACCGTGGGCCCTCTCCGGCGGCGGGTGATTGTCGGTAGTCACACGATGCGACTGCGCCGTGCAACCAAGGAAACCTGTGACCTCGTATTTCCCGGAAGCCCGGAACGCAATTTCGCCGAGAAGAGTTCGTGATAGAGTTTAGTTGATCCATGGAGTTGGAGCAGCTGCTCCAGGGCTCCCTCAGAGTTTCCCGCCGCATGCCGCCCATTGGCATGTCAGCTTTAGCGCATATGTGTTTATGCCGTACATAGTTTGGCCCCCCGACTCAAGGATATGCCGGAAGGGCGCGTTGAAACGGAAAGTTGGGATGGGATGTTCTTTTCAATACCAGGCCTGGCGGAGGCCTCAACTAGGCTCACCACGCTGTCCTTGCAGTCCCAAGGTGCGCGCATTACTCGGGACAGGTGAGATGAGAAGGGCATCATAGGCTGGCGGCGTGTCTCTGAGTTGGGAGCTGACCACATTGCCAAGCATTTGGAGGTGGAAAAAGGTTGGTCTGAAGAGGTGAAAAGATGAGAAGCAGGAAAAGGGTTCATGTGTGGAAGGAGGCATAGTAAGCGGAAAGCACATTTTTTCTTCTAGCGTCAAACCGTCCCATGCGTGGCTGCGAACAGGTGATATGGGGCGTGTTCGAGATCCCGAATCGAGGGAAGTGCGTGACATCGAGGTGAACAAGGTTGCGACTTCCAAGGAATTGTTCACGGTACGACACCAAATAGGGCGGAAATGGGACCGCAATCTTCGATTTTCTTCAGTCTCTTAAGGCCCAATCCACGCCTGTTCATGCCAGTGGGAGTTCGAGGCGGCTCTTCGCAAGGTGGGTTGGAGAACGGGGCTAAAGCGGGCGTGGTCCCGGTTATGAAACGGAGGCCCGAGCCTCAACTCACTGCGTGGTAGTTAAGAGTGTATGTTTGCTTAGTTATGCAGTAGATACGGTATGGGCGTAACAGGTCTTCTCCAAGGTGAGGCATTCGGTGTGCACAATTGGAGACGGCGGTTGACTGAGGCTGCATCTGCGTTGGGCGGTCACAGGCACGGAGCGCCGGCGGTGCGTTGCGTCATTTCGCGGGGATGTTCCCTGGACGGTGAGTGGCTGCGGAGCAATGCTGGTGGATCCACTCTGGGATACGGGCTGAGGTGGGGACATCGATACGTTCCTCGGATGGTGTGGCGCAGGTGAGCAGGCAGCTGCGTCTCAGCCACACCTGTATTGTCCAACGGCCGGGCGGTTACATGTTCCACGGCCACTTTGCTTCCCTGCTGTTTCTGTCTTTGCTTCTTTCACCGTCGGCCAAGTGTCTTCCAACAGCCTTACCGAACGTTTGATGTTTACTGAATCCTGATTCACCCTCGGTTTGGTGATTGGACGGAGGGAGTTCGGCGGCGTCGGCGACATGGCCACTCAACACCCGCCATCGCAAACCGCAACCGCCAATGCATCTGCAGTGAATACACGTAAGGCGATGTGAGGTGAGAGCAGCTAGAGTGGACGCGCAAGCTTGCTTTCTTCCAGCAGCCGACTCTTCCATCTCATCCGTGCCTTATCTCATGTACCTGCTTTGGCAGCTACTGCAGAGCAAAGACTGTTTTCCGGACGTCGTCCAGTAAGCCAAGCCATCGTCGTCACTCAGCAAATGCGACCGAACCTCCGGGGTTCCTGCCATTGCGAAGCTTGCCGTCAGCCATGTTCATACTTTTTTTGCGTGTGCTTCATTTCAAGCACCAAGTGCTAACCAACGCCTGTCGTCGGACAGCGCATGGCAAATGGGACATGGCATTGAGCAAATGGAGTCTTTTGCCCGTGCAACCCATCTTCTTCGCAAGCCAGGTCTCATATGATTCCTGCATTGCCCCGTATGCTGTTGCCTGGCGATACTGAACCCGACTCAGGTCACCAGGGATCTTCCCACGTTGTCGTTCGGCCAGTGAGTGAGTGGTTGGCTGGGGCTGGCTAGCACCTAGTTGGCTGCTGGCTGGTGCTCGCCCCCGAGGCAGACAGACATGGTGGTGACATGGAGCTCTCCCAGTCGTCGGCGGCATGAGAGACGCAGACACAGAGACAGAGCACCTAGCCGCTGCTGCGGTTCCCTGTCCGCGTAAGTCGTCGTGCTTGTGCCGCCCGGGCAGAGGTCCCACTTGCATCTGCGGCAGTGACCCAAAAGTAGCACTGGGAGGATACCCGTGGAGGGGATCGCCCGCTCTGAGCCGCCGAGCGAGCGCGAGTTGCTGCCGTTGCAAGTGAGAGAATGAATGCTAGAGATACGAATACCAAGTAAGAGAAGTACGGGTACTGGGTAAGAAAGAGAACCTAATACTGAGTTGGGCTACGTACCGTCGCAACTTCCTCGCTGGTGGTGGGGGAGGCGCACCGCCACTTTCCAGGTTCGGGCAAGTTCAGCGTTCATCAGCGACCACCGTCAGCGGCAACAGCACCTGAGGTGGCATCCACTGGACTGGCGGGCAGAACAGAGTGGACCTGGACCTACCCAGGTACCTAGAGCATGGAAGGTACCCCCCCAAACCTGGAAACGCGCAGCACAGCTGAGGTGGTCTTGGCAAGCTTGCTGTGCTGTGCTTCTCAGACCTCTCTCTCGCTCTCTCTTTCTGTCTGACCCGGCTGCTTCTCGTTCTTTCCCAAAACCAAAACTGTGCCAATCTCTTACAGCCAACCTCCTAACAACTTCGCTTCATCCTTTATTTCGGCCTGTCACTCTTGCAGCCAAGAATCGCTGCGGCCCCGGGATCCCCGTTTGCGATCGTTTCCTGGCTCATCCTTCCGGGTCTTTCTTTTTCATTCCCTGCCTGCAATAATTCAGAGGTCGTATTAACAGCCCACCCACCGAATGACGACACCCGCTGGAGCTTCGCTTCGCTTCACCACCACCGCCGTCCCTGCTCCCAACCTCCAGCCGTTTGCCGCCGAACATCCTTCCCGCCGCTTGCTGCAGCTCCCATAGCTGTCTGCCACAGCAGCTTCTTGACGTCGCCGACACCCCGATTGCTTTCCTCTGCTCACGACCGAGTCCTTCGAATTGCATCCTCTCCAAACGATACCTTGAACACCCCGCCCGCCTCCAGTCCGAGAACTCGGGACCCTCGTCGACATGGTCACCCGCAAGCCCGCTCCCGACGACACCTCCGTTGACACGAACGCCGCGCCCCGGCTGCAAGACATGCGAAAGGAGCTCTGGAGCGCTACTACCGACTCGCCTTCGGACGTCGGAAGTGTGTGGGATGACGCTTCGCAACAGAAGGGCGCTGCGGCACTGAACCAACAACCCGCCCATCACGACATCCCGGACTCTTTGAAGCCGGGCGCTGGCGCTGCGATGAACGGCGCAGAGACGACCAATGGCGTCTGGGACGATGTTAACGGCGGCAGACCCCAGACAGCCGACAAGTCGAAGGATGCTGTTGATGTTCCCTTGGCGCTTCGTCCCGGTCCCCCGCAAGGTCCGCCATCACGGTCCGATACGAACCCGTTCAAGAAGAAGGACGTCCGCGCCGGCTCCGAAGAGACAACACCGCCGATGCCTCCAGCCCAGCCCTTGTCCCAGGTGAGCACCGGGGAAATTAGTAATAACCCGTGGCAGCCAGCGCTCGACCAGCATGCCCTCCAACGCGAGCAAAAGGCCGTCGCTTCGACCGTGCAACAGCCCCTCAGAGCTCAACCCAGCTCCGACGCCGAGCAAGATGCGTGGTCCGTATCTCAGGACTCACGACTCCCGCCGATATCTACTTCGCCAGCGCTAATGTCCCTGCCTTCGGAACCCACATCGCCGGCCTGGGACGATCTCCCCGAGAACCAGGCCAAACTGCCAGCGCAACCCCCGCCAGCGCCGAAAGAGGTCCTGAACGAGGTCACCGACGAGCAGCACGCCTGGGATGACCTTGGTGCGCAGAACAAGGGCAAGGGGAAGGCTGCTGCTCCCGTCGCAGCTGCGGCGATTGTCGAAGATGGTCCAATCGACGACTGGAACCTCGTTGACGCGCCCGCACCGGCGCCGGCTCCTCCTTCGAAACCTGTCGAGGCGGCCACACCTAAACCGCAATCAAACGAAAATTTAATTGACACTGATGAGCCGGAACCTGCAGAAAAGGCCCCTCCTGCACTACCCCCAAGGAATGACGAGGAGCACCCACCACGCCAGCCACCTCGCCCAGTCGATGGCAAATCTGAAACGTATCAGATCAAGAACATCAACTGGTTCGATCACAGTGCCGAGAAGAACCCGCGAACGTCTCCAATCCTGGTCCAGAATGCCAATGGCCCTTGTCCGCTCGTAGCTCTGGTGAACGCGCTGACCCTCACCACCCCGGCGTCAGTATCAGACACCGCGCTTGTGCAGGTACTCCGCTCGCGTGAACAGATTAGCCTGGGCTACCTGCTTGACGCGGTATTCGACGAGCTCATGTCGGAGAGAAGAACCCATGAAGACACCTCCCTTCCCGATGTCTCCGAGTTGTACGGCTTTCTCAAGGGGTTGCACACCGGAATGAATGTGAATCCTCGCTTCATACCCACTCCTGACATCGTCAAGGCTTTCAAGCGCACTTCTCTTACCCACCTCCACCCAACTGAGCGCGACGACCTGATCCCTGGCACGTTTGAGGACACCACCGAGATGGCGCTTTACGCTGCATTCGCCATCCCATTAATCCACGGCTGGCTACCGCCCAAGTCTGATCCAGCGTATGGCGCATTTGAGCGCCAGGCTGCCTCGTTTGAAGACGTTCAAACGCTGCTATTCCTTGACGAAGAGCTGCAAGAGAAGCTTGGCTCGTTGACAGAAGAGGAAGAGCAAGTGTACTCGGATATACAGTACATCAAGGCGTTCCTGGAGTCGTCTGCTACCCAGCTTACGCCCTGTGGCTTAGACGTAATTACAAAGGCCATGAAGCCTGGATCTGTGGCCATTCTGTTCCGAAACGACCACTTTTCCACACTGTATCGGCACCCTTCGACCCAGCAACTTCTGGTCCTCGTCACAGATGCGGGCTATGTCTCGCACGATGAGATCGTTTGGGAGTCCCTTGCAGATGTGAACGGCGAGCGTACCGAATACTACTCTGGGGATTTCCGCATCGTTGGTGGCCAGCAGGCTCAGAGCACCTCTCGTGGACCGCAGACCGGGGGACAACGCAGCCAGGGACGGCCAACCATCAACACCAACCACAGCAACGCAGGCGATTGGAATACGGTACAAGGCCGCGGCCGACGGAAGAATCTTGATGCGCCAGCAGCTGACGAAACCCCTTTGTCGCCGAACCATGAACAGGAGGATCGGGATCTTGCACTCGCGCTTCAACTTCAAGAGGAGGAAGAGCAGCGGCATCGGGCGGAGCAAGCGGCCCGTCGAAGAGAGAGTCAGCTTAGCGAGCAATTTATCGAACAGCAAGCTCGTGTCCAGCAAGGCCCCACAACGAGGCGCGCGGCCACCAGGGCGGCTGTACGCGGAGGAGTGAATCGAAGCACGAGCAACGTGGCATCGTCGCAGGGTAGCCGACGCAATTCCAACGGCAACACCTCAACACCGCCGACTTCGGGTCGTCAGCCAGGCCAACCACCGCAAATGATCCGACCACTCGTTCCGCCAACAGTCCCTGTCCGTCGACAGGGGGTGAACCGACCGGCCGACGAGGGACTGGAGGACGCGCCGCCCACGTATGAGCAGGCACAGGCGGCTGCCAAGTATGAGCCGCCACCTGGCCACCCGCACCACCACGCCAGCAGCCCGGTGGCCGGACGACAAGGAAGTGGTGCTGGTCCGTCGTTCCCGGCCGGTCGGCCGGTTATGGGCGGTGGACGAGGCCGGGTGATGGGCCCTGGAGGCGTGGTGGGAAGTTCTTCGGGCGGAAGGGAACGGGACTGCATCGTTATGTGAAGGAAAAGCGCCACAGGCACTCATGAATGGAGGCGTTTTGGTGTCATTCATATTTGTGTGGGCATTGGCACCCCGCGACTCTCACGCGAGGCTGCATGCCCCTCTTTGTACAAACACAATTTTCTCAGCGGGCGGCGTTGGATTCCATGAATTAGGAACTACAGTCATGAATTGAAGAGGTTATGAATAGCATGCGCGGATTTGCTCTGCCCCCCCCCCCCCAACGTGGTGACGGGATCGTCCTGCGGGATTGATGCAGGGGGGAGCTTTGCGGAAAGCTGCCGATTTGAGGGGCATGCCAGCAGGACCCCACCTTCTCCGAGTCGGGATAGGAAGGCGGTCGGGGATATGCAGGGGTCGAGAGCGTAATGTTTGTTGCATCGTCCCATGTTTTTGCCGGAGCTCCTGTTCGATTCCCACCGCGTCATTGACTCCGCGGCGGGGAAGCGCAACACCGGGGATCCAAACCGACCTCAATTCCGCCCTTCAAGGCCCTTTTCCCTTCGCATTTCGACACGCGACAGAGACATAATATTAGTATCGCTCAATTGGCGCAAACCGCAAGCAGCAGCCATGGCCATCGTGGAAGGATGGCTTCCCCCCACGCGGGAGAACTGGCAGCTTCTCTCGACGGTGTGGCAGATTTCCTACCCGATCGTAGGTTTTCCCTTTCCTCCGTTTTACACTCTGGGTCTATCCAAAGTGGAACGCCGGGCTCCTGTTGAAAGAGGGGACACAATGGGCTAACGAAAGGTCGGCGACCTGCAGATCGGCTCGATGCAGTACCTCATCTCGTGGTACGGCATGGGCAAGACGTCCGTCGTCAGCAGGCTCAACATCCCCGGGCGCGTCGCGTGGTTCCTGATGGAGGCGCCGGGGTTCACGACGTTGCTGTACATCATGTTCACGCTGCCGGGGAAGATGGGCGTTGAGGATTTGCCGTGGCAGAACAAGGTCCTCGCTGGGCTGTTTGTAGGTTTTCTCTCTCTCTTCCTTCCTCCCTCTCACCCGCGCTTGACTGACGATGTGTGTGAAACAGGTGATACACTACTGCTACCGCGCCGTGCTCTACCCCCTCATCCAACCCTCCATGTCGCCCATCCACCCGGCCGTCGCCTTCTCCGCGCTGGGCTTCCAGCTGTGCAACGCGACCTGCATCGGCGGCTGGCTCGCCGCCTACGGGCCCACGACGCCCGCGGCGTGGGACCGGCAGCTCGGCGCGTTCGGGGTCGCGCAGTTCGTGGCCGGGATCGGGCTGTTCTACGTCGGGCTCGTGGGGAACTACTTCCACGACGAGGAGCTGCGGGAGATCCGCCGCGCGGAGATGCGGCGGCAGGAGCGCATCGTCAAGGAGCAGAAGGCGAAGGGGGTGGAGGGGAAGGTGAGCGTGGACAAGCACTACCGGCTGCCGGACGCGCTGCTGTTCCGGTACGTGCTGTTCCCGCATTACTTCCTCGAGTGGGTGGAGTGGTTTGGGTGGTGGATGGCGAGCGGGTGGGGGATGCCCGGGCGGGCGTTTTTTGTGAACGAGGTGACGGCGATGTTGCCGCGGGCGAGGAGCGGGAGGGGCTGGTATGTGGAGAGGTTTGGGGAGGAGAAGGTCGGGAAGAGGTGGGTTATTGTGCCTGGTGTTTATTGAAGAAGAAGGGTTGGAATGAACATTCAGCTTGTGTTGCCCTTTAGTTCATGCCAACAGAGGATGGACGTCGGCATCGCTAGTCTGTTTCACTAGTTACAATATCACATAGAAAACCAACACCTTATCTCATGCTTTGACTGCAACGGCCACGAGGCGATATACTCTTGCCCAGTTATGCGGCAGGTACCTGTTCCTTCAACGGCTTGCGTCCATACGCGCACCAGCTGTAATAAGAGGAATCCCGTTAGCAAAAACCTGAGGATCCGCAAACGCAACAAACCCAAGAAAATCGGACGGCCAAAAAGAAATGCCACAGACACACTTACACGTTCCAGTAGGCGTGGATGCTCCTGTCCTTGAGCTCGTTCCTGACCTCGGCGCAGAACACCAGCACCTCCTCGCGGGTCCAGCCCAGCACGCGCGTGAAGAGCGCGAGCGCGGAGCTCTCAACGGCCTCGAGGCTGTCGAACTGCGACCAGCGGCCCAGCAGGCGCAGCGCGTCGTTGCGGGGCCAGTCGTTGACGGGCCACACGCGGTACTCCTCGACGACGTCGACGAAGCCGGTGTCCTGCAGCATGCGCTTGAAGTGCGCGGGCACCGTGACGGGGCGGCCCATCTTGGCGGTGCCCTCCATGATGAGCGAGGACCAGCGCTCGAGCGCGGAGCCGGGGCGCAGGGTGCCGTCCTGGCAGGCGAGGGGGAAGGAGTTGTCCTGGAGCTCGATGTAGCCGCCGGGCTCGAGGTTTCTGGGCCTTTGTTTTAGCATTGGGGGAAGACGGACCCTTACAACCTCTTCCCGAGGAGGGGAGAAGGAGAAACTCACTCGTAGGCTTGGGCCAGCATCCTCTCCCAGCTTGCGAAGCAGGCGTTCATGTGGCGGACGAAGATGAAGTCGAAGGGGGTCGACCATGTCCAGTCCTTGTCCACGTCGTCGATTTCGAATTTGCAATTCGGAGGAACGCTACTCACGTAAGTGAATTAGTTAGCTCGGCATTTCCACTCAAGAGTGTGATAGGACCACCCGGGAAAGGCTCGTACAATTCAGGCTGGATGGGGCTCAGGTCAACTCCTATGACCTGTTTTGAAGGAGTTAACAGTTGGTCTAAGGGTCACCAAGAATCTAGGCGGGTCAAACCGTGGCCTCGGGATGATCCTCCGCTACACCTTTGATTAGTCGTCTGCTTCGTTCGAGCTCTCTCATCGGGTAGACTCACCGTACTCAATGGACCAAATGCCAGTGCCGGTCCCCACGTCCAGAACGCGGTTGGCGCCGTTTCTCTTGGGTGATCTGCACAGGTCGCCGTCCCAGGTGACCCTCCAGAGATGGTGGTTGATATCTAGAATTGTGCCAGTCAGCTCGCGAACCTATGAAAGAGAGGTTTCAGCTATGTTATTTACCTAGACGTTCTTGTTCTTGCTGTTAATGGCAAAGTCAGTTGGCAGCACTCACAAGCCGCGGCTGGAAGACCGAACCTCGTCGTTTGGTAATATGTAAGCTAGAAGAGGGTGCTTGGGGTCAGTTTCCAAGGCAATAAAAGCTAGCCCTCGAGATCACACTTACTTCCCTCGCTCATTCCATGGTACCGGCGCCCGTTCTCTCTCCGATGCTCGAGGATGCTGGATCTCAAGGACGCGAGAGAGGAGCCGCTCTGGAAAGGTTCGAGGCCTGTTAGTCAAACGGCGAACGTGACGGGTTCCGCGAGCGGTGACTTACACTGCCATTTGCGGAGCCGGTCTCGGAAATGCCCTCATCGACATCCTCCTGTCCATGACGACTTGTCAGCTATCACAAAAGCACACATATGCACACAGCCCGCGAGAAGGATAACCCACAGGCTCCAATGGCGTCAAGTCCGGAAGGTTAGCAGCAGCAGCCATCTTGGTCTGTCTTTCTCTTCTCACTTGTACAAATCGCGAAAATCCAAGAAAAGCTGCCTCAGTCGCAAAGAGCTTTTCAAAAAGACCGTTGGAGGGAGGAGAGGGTTTGACGGGTTTGAGGCGGGGTGTCCTTATGTTCCGGCGGAAGAGTCGTCCCCTTGCAACAACCCTCCATCATCGAGCCCGCCCCGCTCGTCTACAGGGGCGCGATGGTGATTGTGGTTGGACTGCGCCGCATGCACCCTGCACACGGGGAGTCCACTGGAACGGGCTCTAAGCATCTTCAACCGGGCCGGGAGGGAAGGGGGGCCGAATGGCGCACGCAATTGGGCCCTTATCTAAGCGCCGTGGGATTAGAGGTGAACAAGCGGCCGAGACGGGGATAGCTCGATGGGGGCTCGTTGTCACCTCGTGTTGGTTCATCCGGTGGCCCCGAGACTCTCGGTTCCCCGGGTGGAGTACGTATGCCATCGGCCCCACTCTGTCGGCCCGCCGGGCTCGATCCAATGTCAACGGGCCTCTTCAACTCCTGCAAAAGCTTCTTTAAACCCGTCTTGCTGAGAGCTTTGTATTGTTAAGCGGCGGATTTCCTGCTACTAGCGTTGCGTTCAACATGTCAAGAAAGTAGATGTAGGATCAGACGTCAATCAACACTGGCTACTACTGGCCAATCTAATACCCTACTCGCTGTGGCCAGCGTCTTCATAGCGCTGCATGTGCGCAGCGCTGTCTGACGAGATTCTGCGGTTTTATCTGAAAGGGTGATTTTCTGGCTGTGAAGTTGGCCTCAAAGTCTTGGCGCCTCAGCATCTTACTAGATAGTCCTTCAAAGTCGGTACTTGAAAGCGCAGCAGATGTTTTTTGATAAAATTGACGTTCATTTCAGGCCCAAGTAAAGATATGTCCCAAAGTCAACGACAGTTCGGGTATCGCTGGCAAAGACATGGGAGCAAGCTGTTAGCATATCGGGCAAGAAGTCTTCGCTGGTCTGTCGCATGGGAGGAAGTAGATGTCAGTTGTCGGCTGGCGTCCGGTGGAAGGAGTACGCGAATTCGTGTGTTGGCTCGGAAGTCCTCAGTTGCCTCGACCTTGGCGGCGCAACTACCATCAGTACCCGTATTCAAGCATTGCGCAGTATCGCCATGTGATGGACTCTGTTTTGACAGCTAAGGCACATATCATTAGCGGCTCGAACATCGATGTTGGAATCAACTTAGTAGGTTCTGCGCGGCGGTTTGTCGATTTTTCAGGTTAATTGTCTGGCCTTAAGCATCCCAGAAATATATTATGAGTTTTGCTATTTGGGCGGATGTTTCTAGCTATCCGGGCGGGTAGCAAGTATCGGCGATGATAGGGAATAATCACGAAGACGATAGTAATAACAAGGACGACAGGGACGACAGGGATGACAGGGATGACAGGGATAGTAAAGACGATACTTACAATAAAGACGATAGAGATAACAGAGATCATAGTTCATTAACAGATAAAACCTATTAGACTTAATACTATAGTTATCCGCCCGGTTAGCTGGAAGTATCCGCCCGGATAGCAAGACTCTATATTATAACAGCAAATGCAATCAATTGAATGACCGCTGCATGCTCAGCTTGAACCGGGCCACTTAAGTGGGCGACCGCAACTTGAGGCGCTGGTTGCTCGTTGTGGTCGGGGGACAATCCGTTTGTTGGATCTCCACGATGTTTTCTTTTTCCTCATGTCGGCACCACCGCTTTGATTCGGCCACGCGCAGCATTGTGGGGATTTCATCAAAAAGACACCGACGCGACGTCTCAAAATGGCCACGGACATGGCTGGGTCTGGCAGATGGCCAAGATCTCAGGGCTGCCTGCCGGCGGGGAAAGCTGCACACAATTTGTTTTCTTACTTTTCTCGTCCCGACAAGTTCAAGTGTGCTTACTTTTCGAGTCTCAGCTCTTCGTGAACGACAAGAACCCCACCCACACATGTCAGTTGTCACTTTTCAATTTAGTAGTTCATCTGAGGTTAGCTGACATTTTGTTTTTCGCTACCAACAGTTTGCTTCTTTCCATCAGATTCGTTGCCCCTCACATCCCCAAGCGGGGACGATGTACAGATGGTGCTGCGAGATGAGCCACTCATGTTGGGCGCAAACGCTCTCATTCATGTTCAGAACTGGAATGCAGCTACGGATTCACCTGCAAGTGCCGTTTGCTTGTCAATATCCTGTCAGCGCGGAAATTCCCCCGGTCTCACACCGTCACAAATGCTTGTTGTGGACCTGCGCATTCCACTCGATTGCCGAGACACCCCTCCCAACATCGGCTTTCCCCATGGATAAATCAAACACGATCCCGGCCGAGACCTTCACATCCTCTCCCGAGTCCCCATTCCTACACCTCTCATTGTTGTTGTAGTTTCCGCGGGCCTGGGTCGTCGCCAACGACGAGCAGATGGCTTCCTCCGACCCCGAGTACATGGCCGATCCGCCAGACGGTCAAGGTCGATTCGATGCCGGGACCATTACGACGGGCGCGTTGGTCCTGGGCGGCATTCTGACGTCGATCTCCGTCATATTCGTCGGGCTGCGGATATTTACGAGGCTATCACTGGTCAAGAGATCGCTCGGCGCCGACGATTGTGAGTCTTGGGGTCGGTGACTGACGGACTTCTTTGCCAAGGCTAACACTTGGCGACCAGACTTCATTGCCGTCTCACTTTCGCTAGCTATTGTATTCTACGGCTTGTCGATTGAATGTGGGCCACCCGATAGCGATTTTGCTGTGCGTCGAGATCTGACTTTTTAGTATGCGAATTGGGCGTCGGTGTTCACCTCTGGCAGGTTAGGCAGGCGGATTACTCGCCTTGGTTTCTACTTGTGAGTTGGCATTACCAGTCAAACTCGAACAGGGGTATTTGTCGACTGACCTTTGGCCATGCAGTACAGCTTGATAGCGATAGCTGTCTACTCGCTCAGCGTCACAACAGCCAAGATGTCGCTCCTCGTTCTCTACCTTCGTCTCTCACCAGACCGTGTATTCAGAATAGTGGTGATAACCTTCATCGCTTTCACCACCGCATACGCCATATCTTACCTACTTTTGATATTGCTCAGTTGCAGACCGATCCAGGCATCTTGGGATCTCTCTGCCAGACAAGGCGCAATGTGCATCAGCAAAGACACGCTGTATCTGGTCCTCGCCGCGACCAACATCATCATGGACATTGTCTGCCTCATTCTTCCCCTCAAGATCATCATCCCTCTCCAGATGCCAAAGCGCCAAAAGTGGTCCCTCATCGCGTTGTTCGCAACCGGCGGCTTGTAAGTCACCGCAGCCCTCTGACGCGACCGCTCTAACCCGCCCCCAGCGTCTGCCTCTGCGCCATCCGACGCACAATCCTCCTCCCGCCCTTATTCCAAAGCAAGGACTTCACCCGAGACGTCGAGAAGCAGCTCAACTGGGCCTCCGTCGAGGTCAACGCCGGCATCATCTGCGCGTCCGTCCCCGCGCTGAAGCCCTTCTTCATGCGGTACTTGCCCATGTTCGTGCACTCGCACATCACCGGCTCGAGCAAGAAGTCGAACGCCAACTACCAGAACTACCAGACGTCGATGCCCTACTCGACGACGGTGGAGAACAACAGGAAGCGGCGGAACGTACAGTCGGAGGCGTATGAGCTGCACTCGCACGACGACCTGTCGCTGTCGTCGCACGAGATGCCGAAGGCCGGGTCGGATGAGGATGTTACGAAGCTTTGGTCTGGGAGTGCGTTCCGGAATGACCGTACGAGCCAGTTGTTGACTACCATTGAGTCCAAGACGATGGATATGGACGCGAATAGCGTCGATAGTGCGGGGGAGATTGTGCCGGCTGATGGAAGCAGCGCAGGGCAAGGGTCACAAGGGCCTAGGAGGATGGCGAGCTTTCATGGCATCACGGTCACGACGGAACTTGAAACCAAGGTTGACTATGAGAAGACTTAATCTAATATGGGGGAGTCAAGAAGGACTTCTAGTGCGGCTTCAGCATTCAGGACATGTTTCTGCGTTTAGCGTATAGATTTCTCTTTTGTCTATGTCCCTTTTCAACATTGTAGAGCGATCCCTTGATTGTATTTGTATAGGTTCCCGCAATACCTAAAGCCTCTTCTTATTCGTCCTTCAAGTCTAGGACGTCTCTCAAATCCTTGATTTCTGTGTCTGGTCGCGTCGCAACAGGCTTCGACTTCCTAGTTCCATACTTCCACTCTTTTCTCAAGCCTCTCGGTTTCCCCTCCAACGCGTCGGCAATATAGTCGCCAATGATCGGGAACATCTTAAAGGCGTGGCCCGAGTCGCCAGTCCCTAGAAGAAGGGAAGGATACTTGGGGTGATTGTCGATCAGCCAGTGGGCGTCCGGCGAGTCGGTGCACCAACACACTCTCGCACCGAGAAGCGGCCGCCCCGAGAACTGAGGCATCACCACGTCGATGAAGCGATTGATGGCTTTGGCAGCTTCATCGGGAATGCCGTCTTCAGGGTGCGTGCTCGCGTATCGGGGGATGGAGTAGTGTTCGACGTTGCCAGACGGATCCGTGTACGTGCCGAGGCGGTATTGGTAACCTGGGTTATTGTCGCATATCTTCATCCATCCTGTGGCCATGTCAGATGCGAGTCATTCTCTTCAAGGTGGCAGAACTCACTAGTCTCAGGATCGGGTTCAAAGGTAAAGCCCAACTCGAAGTTGTCAACGACCGGAATGCCCCTCCACTGGGAAACCTCTTCTTCAGTGAGCTCAACGTGGCCCAGAGTCCAACACTTAGTCCACAGCTCCTGCGACAACTCGGGCAGGACTTCCGGAGACGCAGCGCCAGTGCACAAGACGTATTGATCTCCGCGAACAATGTCGCCCGACGCAACCTTGATGCCGTCCAGTTTACCAGATCCATCGAGGTGAAGCCCAGTCATCGTGCCTTGAGCACCCGAGATGAAATTAACCCCAAGGTCCAAGGCTTCTTTTCCCCACTTCTCAAGGGACTTTCTCGAGTGCGCCCATCCTCCCTGGCTGTTCCACAGGCCCTTCCAGTCCTCGATGCCGTGTGCGTTCGCAAGTTGAGGCACAAGCTTGATGATTTGGTCTTTGCTTTCGACAAATTCAAGGCTGCCAGATTGGCCGGCTCTTTTCAAGTTCTCATATGACTCCTTGAGGTGCTTTTCAGCTTGGGGATCTCCTGTAGTTGTGATGAGCCGGCCCTAAAAGTCAAACTTAGAAAAACTGCATCATGTCTAGCGATAGTCTCAAGATGCCCTACAGTCTCGTGGAAAACCCCCTCCCACTCCGGTTGTCTCCAAGCATTTAGGGCCTCAAGCGCCAGCTCTGTATAAAGAGGCTCGTCATACTCTGTTCGAATAATTTTATTCAAATCATAGGCTGCAGAGTCCAGACTTGGGACGGGGTGGCGATCGATGCATCGGATGTTGGTGTAACCGCGCTTTGCGAGATGGTATGCTGTGCTGATGCCGAATGTGCCTCTGGGTTGCTATTGTTAGTTCCTCTCATAGCCGAATCATGAAGGCCACAGCTTACGCGCCAATGATGACGATGCTCGAGTCTTTCGTCAGAGGGCTTTCCGCCATGGCTTACGAATGATTACGATTACGTTGAGGCAAAGAAAACAAAACGAGACTGTGAAGACGCAATTGCAACAATGTCCAAGTCACTCGCACATCGACTTGCGTACCAAGAAAGATGTAGGCCCAGATATGATAGGAACTTGCATATTCCAACGCTGTCAAGGTCAAGTTATGTTGAAAAATCATAATGTGATTGGTTCAAATCCTTTCCCCTCACGCACAGTCACCAAAGGCTCACGCTATCGAGTAATTGGAGCGTCTAGCGACCGACCACGCGTCTAAACAGCTGATCTTCGGGGGGGCAATGCCGGCTTGGACCTTCCCCTTCGACTCCTCTTCTCCTCACCGTCACCGGCTTCGGAGATAAACCCCGGGGGACCCTGACCCGCGAACAAGCTTCCCAGGCCCGCATTACTCGCGATTCCCACTGCAATTGGACCCTGAAGACGTGCTGCCCGATCCACTACGGGACGCTGGGCAGATAGCTTGGACCTTCCCCTGGCCACCATCACATGGGCGGTTCCAGTGTGTGTATCATGGAGAAACGAGTGGGAAAAAAGGTTATCTGGACTGCGGGGTCTACCTTAGGTGGTGTTCGCGGTTATGGAGCGATGATAAACGGATGATATTGCAGATCGGTAGTTTCTGGGGAAGGTCGTTCACGAAGGATACCACACTGTTTAGGCGTCTTGTACGAGCACCTCGGCAGATGACCAACTCTACGCGGTAGGGGTCTCAACATAAAGCCGCCGTTCTGTCATCTCGACTTTTTGTTCACGGAAGCCTCTTGTTACGCCTAACTATCTTGCGTCAGTCACTCTTTTCTCGCCATGTCCGCCGCGCCGCCAGACAAGTCCGGCGAGAAGCTGGCCGAGGCGCGCCCAACGCCCTCGCTCCAGCAAGCGCAAGCACCGCAAGACATCGACGTCGAAGACCCCGACAAGTCCATGACCTACGCCATCGGCGAGATCGAGGAGCACTTCGACATCGACTCGGACAACTCGCCCTTCCCCGAGGTCCGCGCCAACGTACCCAACACGGACGACGTCGCCATGCCGGTTAACACGCTCCGCATGTGGGTTCTCGGGGTCCTCTTCACCATGGTCGGCTCCGGCATCAACCAATTCTTCTCCATGCGCTACCCCGGCGTCACCATCTCGTCCCTCGTCGCCCAGCTCGTCGCCTATCCCGTCGGCTGCGCTGTCGCTCGCGTCCTGCCGGTGAAGAAGGTCCGCGTCTTTGGGCGGGAGCTCGTCATCAACCCGGACCATTACTTCAACATCAAGGAGCATGCCGTGATCACCATCATGTCTAATTTGTCTTTCGGACCATCTTGGGCTACCGACATCATCCAGGCGCAGAAGGCTTCGGCGTTCTATGGGCTGGACACACCGGTTCCGTACCAGTTCCTGCTGGGTCTGTCGATGCAGCTGTTTGGTCTTGGCATGGCTGGACTGGCGTACCGGTTCATTGTAGAGCCGCCTCACATGATCTGGCCCTCGACTCTGGCCAACGCGGCTCTGTTTCAGACTCTTCACGGAAGGGCCAACCCCATCGCCGATGGCTGGAGGATCTCGAGGTATCGCTTCTTCTTGTACATCTTTATTGGCGGGTTCTTCTGGTACTGGCTCCCTGGATACCTCTTCACCGGTCTGAGCACGTTCGCTTTCATCTGCTGGGCGGCACCAAGTGAGTATCTGCTCATTATTCAGGAAATAATCTTTGCTAATCTACTTAGATAATGTCGTGGTCAACAATCTATTCGGCATGTCCACAGGTCTGGCCTACCTGCCCACAACATTCGACTGGTCTCAAATCGCCTACAATGGCTCGCCCCTGGTCGTTCCGTTCTGGGCCCAGGCCAACGTGTTTGCCGGCTGGGTGATTCTCTTCGCCCTCGTGACCCCGGTCCTCTACTACACCAACACGTGGTACACCGCCTACCTACCCTTCTCCGGCGCCGACACGTACGACAACACCGGGAAGATCTACAACGCAACCCGCGTCGTCGGCAAAGACGGAAACTTCATCGTCGGAGAATACGAGAAATACAGCCCCCTCTTCATGCCCGTCACCTTCGCCCTCAGCTACGGCATCTCCTTTGCGGTCATGAGCTGTGTGCCGACGTACATCTTCATCAACCACTACAAGGAAATCATCGGCGCCTTCAACCCGAGCAGAAAGAAGGACATCCATGCCCGCCTGATTGAGAAGTATCCCGACACGCCATGGTGGTGGTACGCAATCCTGACCGTCATCGTCTTGGTCCTCTCGATCGTTGTGCAGGTGGTCTACAAGACGCAGATGCCGGTCTGGGGCATCTTCGTCGCCTTCGGCCTCGCCATGGTCTACCTCATCCCGACGGGCAGCGTCTACGCGGTGGCCAACCTTAATAGCAACGTCTTGACTGTTCTAGGCGAAATCATTTCGGGGTATCTCATCCCAGGCAAGCCGATCGTCATGCTCATCTTCAAGTTCTACGCATACACTGGCCTAAGCCAGGCCATGATCTTCTCCTCGGACATGAAGCTCGGCCTGTACATGAAGATTCCTCGACGAACGCTCTTCATTGCGCAGCTGACGGCATGCGTTGTCGGCTCGCTGACGCAGAACGCGGTGCTTCTCTGGATGCTCAACCACGTCAATGGAATCTGCAAGGAAGACCAGCCGAACGGGTACACATGCCCGCAAGGGCGTGTCAACTTTTCGTCGAGCATTGTTTGGGGAGCGATTGGGCCGGCTCGTCTGTACAGCGTCGGCAAAATCTACTCTGGCCTCTTGCATCTCTTCTGGATTGGTGCTTTGCTACCGATCGTCACTTTCTTCCTGAAGAAGCGTTTTCCGAGCAACAAATTCCTTCAATACCTCCACTGGCCCCTCTTCTTTGCCGGCACCGGAAATGTGCCCCCAGCCACTGGTCTCAACTACACGTCAGCTTTTGCCGTTTCGTTCATTTTTAACAAGTGGCTCAAGGGGAAATATCCGCAGTGGTGGGCAAAGGTGAGTCCTTTACGTTAAGTTTTAAGTGTACTTTGACCCGTGCTCACCACACAACAGTATAATTACGTCCTATCCGCAGCCCTTGACTCCGGCCTGGCCATATCAGCGATTGTCATTTTCTTCGCCCTCGTGTTCCCCGGCGTCAACCTCAGCTGGTGGGGGAACAACGTGAATAAAACAACAATTGACGGCCAAGGCATCCCTTTGAAAGCGATTCCCACCAGCGGCACTTTCGGTCCTGCCAGTTGGTCATAAGAAACTTTATTTTCACCATACGGGACAGCTTATCTTCTTATAATCTCTGGGGCTGAACAAAACCAGGCTTTCCCGTAACGCAGATACCCATTTTCCAGATCCGTACTCTCTTCCTAATATAACGATTCCCACAAATTCAACGCTTCATTGACAAAAACAGGCGAAACTGTGTACAATCTTCTGTTGTTTTCCACGCAAAGCACCCCTTTCCAGAATTGAGCCCAAAAATCACATTGAAGAGTCTGATCTACACGCTCAGGCGAGACTGATGTTATGGCAGTGCGGCGCGACGAAACGAGCCCAATCGTTGAACGCCTTTGGACTGGGCGAGAGCTGTCGATCTGAAGACAGAAACGACGCAGCCTCTCGCTGCTTCCACACTTTTTCAATGACAAACCTCGTTCTTGTGACGTTTGAGAGGGAATCCGACAGCTTGTCCAGAGCGTACAAGATGAAAGGCCGCGCGTGGCGAGGCACCTCCTCATCGTCAAGATCTTCCGCGGCCCACTCTAGCTCCTCCGTAGGATCCAGCTGACAAGCAGTCATGAAAAGGGGCCACGTGAGCCCGGCCTTGACGTCCGCTCTCAGCAGCGTCGCAACGAGCCGCAGTATTTTCTTCACGCTTTGTCTAATCACGGGCGTGGCGGGGTTCGTGTCATTGAGGGCGGAGTGCAGGTACAACTCCACAGTCGACCGCTTCATCTCAACGGATGTGCGAATAATCTCGTCCTCGCTGTCAGACTTGAGTTTCGGCTGCTGCAGCATTGCAATCAGCCGTATCCGCTGCCTCTCCAGGTCCTGCCAGCAGTCCTCCGCCGTCGACGCCGACAGGCGGTGGTACTTGAAGCTGAGCTCCGTGATCTCGCCGATGATGCTGACAAGGTGCGGCGAGCAGCCCATCCAGAGGTCCAGTTCGTCCTCCTGCGTCGTCCAAAAGTCGTTGCCAAAGATCGGCTCCTCGCCGCAGGCCGTCCGCCCCATCACGTCGTAGAAGGCGAAGTAGCGCTCCGTGAACTTGATGATCTGCTCCCACGGGCTCTGCTGCCGCGCCGCCACCCGCGCGGCGTCGGAGGACAGGCCTTGGCGCCGGAACCGGATGAGGTCGCGCGCGCCCCGTAGATGTGTGACCCAGCGTTTGTCACACTCTGCGATGATTTCCAGCTGGCACAGAAGCATCATCAGCACGAGGATCTCCGAGCTTGCGGCGATGTCGATTGAGGATTTGCTGTCCAGTGTCAGACGGAGCGAGCGGATGACTTTGGCGGAGTAGCTGAGAGCTACGGGCTGGAAGCTGGTGTCTGACCTGGCGCGGTGTGAGGCTGCGAGGCCGAGGAGGGCGTGCATGAGAGCAGGGGAGGCGGATGAGACGGCAAAGGGGAAAATGAGGGCCGAAAAGGGGGACTCGTTTTTGGCGCACGGTACCGTCATGGGACAGATGCGATCGAGATAGTACGTTAGTAAATGCGACTCTGCCCTATTGTCGAGCTGGATGTAAGTCACGGGCCGCGTGAGATGGCTGATGTTGCGCCTGAGAGTCAGCGCCGTGTTTTTGCGGTCGTCGTTGGAGCTGTCATCGCTGGAGGACGACGAGGACTCCTCGCCCTCGAAATCGGTGATAAAGGTGTTGAGAAAGCCGAAGGAGTGGACGCGGGTGGGTAGGCTCCAGTACGAAGAGTCCGGCGCCGTCGGCGGCGTTGTTGCGCCGGGTTTCTTCTTGGCAGCGCCACCACCGCCGGACTTCGACCACACGCCGGCTCTCCCAAAGGCGCGGCCGACGTAGTCAGTCTCCCACTTGAGGATCTGCGCGTAGACGCAGTCGGGATAGCCACGGGAAGTACACGGCCCACAGTGAGGTTTTGCCTCGTCGCAGCGGATCTTGTGCAGCCGGCAGCGGTGGCAGCCGCGGTGGCTCCGGCGAGAGACCTGCTTTGTTGGATCTCGCCGGCGCGGCATTGCGGCGGGCGAGCGGGACACCGGCAGCTTTCGACGTATGAGCTTGGAGGGCAGTGACAATGATCACGAGAGACCAGCATAGAGTGTGCGTGAATGGAGTCAAGTGAAAGGCCTGGAACACCGACGCTAACGCCTGGGATTGAATAGTGGACTGGGGGAATGGGGCCACGACATGGACTCAGGAGAGATTTCCGGGGGCACGACCGGGGCAAAGGTGAGGGGGCCGGAATCTGGAGCAACACATTCGGCTGACTAAACTCGACTTGGAGCCCAACTCCAAATCCAACCTGGGCTATCACCATCACTTGGGGGCCACTGGCATTAGAGTTCACCGGGATGTGGCCTTCACCAGCTGAGAAAGTTTCGGGGAGGGGAAACGCCCGAGGAGCAACTCTGTTTGTATTTAGTAACCGCTTGCTGTCACTAATCGTTTGACCAGTCATCTCAAACAAATCCTATCGTGAATAGAGTTGGCGTGTTCCGCCCGCTGGTTCTAGAATTTCCGCGGTTGGTTGACTCGATGATGACGAAGAAAAGTTGCAAGATTGAAACAGACAGTGCGCTAAGCGCATGTGTCTAGAAGCGTTTCTATCGTGGAGTTGGTATGGATCCCGGCTTCCGCAGCCACAACACTAAAGTCCCCGAGTCCATGTCTACTGATGCTGGGGAAAAGCTGATATTCTCTCAAAACTTCAGTATTGAGACGATGAATATGTTGTTTGGTAGCATGGGATCGCTTCGGAAAACCGTCATCCCTCATTTCGTCTGATGACAGTAAACATATCAAGGGACGATGCCAGCCGAAAAGGACACCCATAATGCAGAGCTTAAAGCGTCCCACTAGGATCGCCAAACACGAGACGAGGCGGAAAAGTCCTAGTCTAGACAACGCATTCGTCCGAAGTGTGCGAATGCTTTAGACTCTGTTAAATAGTCCGTGGTCAAGTGTTTTCTCTGGCTGTAGCCGCCTATTAGCATCGTCTCTACTTCGTTTCCGTTGCGTTCACGACTCGCAACTCCACCGCTCGGTCCATGTGCGGCATTTTCTCAATGAGGGTCAACAGCCAGCAGGTCGGTTAGCTCAGTTGGTTAGAGCGTGGTACTAATATGTCATCTGACATGTTCAGTAATGCCAAGGCCGGGAGTTCAAGCCTCCCACTGATCATGCCTTTTTGCCCTTTTCTAAAATGGTTGTAAGGAAAAGGTTTTGCGTTGCAGGAGAGCTAATTTTTTGGACCTCAGGCTGGCTAACGGTGGTGCGTAGTGCTGATAAGATAAGATGACTGACCCCCACGCTCACAGAGTAGACGGCAATGTGTATGTATCATCAGCCATAGCCCATATCAGACAAGCCACCGAGCCGTTTCAGTTTTGTGTGGATGGAAGATCCTACTCACTTGCGTTGGTCTTTTTGTCTTTTGGTTTGTTACTTTGGCAGGAATACGTCCTGGTGCCCATTTCTGGCCTTCAGAGCTGATGTAGTTGTGCAATAGCGTCAGTACATGCATCCCCCCGCTTGGTAACTTTCAAGTTATTTTCAAGATGCAATGGCATGCCCATCGTGAGTCCATCCGAATGATGATTAATCAATATTTATCAGCATCGTATCAAGCCTCCCCTCAGTTCCGCCGGCACACTTATCGACTCAACCCCCTTGCCCCTCAACTCTGTCTTCTCCTGGCACAACTTAGCCACCGACAGGTAGAACGGCGAGTCCGTCAGCTCCGCCCAGCCCTTCTCTCCCAGCGTGACGGTCAGATCCTCCGTCACCTTGAATCCCGTCTTCAGGCGCGCCGCAGCGATGGCGTTCTTCGTCTCGTCGTTGTCGATGCGCTCGACTCGCACCGCCGACAGCTGGCTCAGCGGCATGCCTGCCCGCGCCCAGACCAGGGCCATGATCTCGCGCATCTTCAGGCGCGGCTTCGTGTCGAGCTCGTTCCAGGCGTCCTTGATGGTGATCTGCCGCAGGAAGGTGTCGATTGTGAATTTGTCGACGACCATGTCGTCGCGGCGGACTTTCCACTCGGTGCCGGCGTTGTCAACGCCGTAGCCCATCTCTTCGAGCGCATCCTCGGGGGGTTCTTCGATCACAACACCGGAGGTGATGGATAGGAAGGTGAGGAAGGCGAGGAAGAGGTGGAGAAGATTCATTTTGAAAGAGTGTTGGTGTTCTGAAAGAGTGTATAGGTGAGTGAGAACTAGGCGCGTGAATGATTTGATGAGGGCTTCAGCGCCGAGTGATCAAGTCCGCGCGAGAAATCCAAAGTTGCCCGAGTATTTTTGATGGGCTTTCCCAAGTCATAATCATTTTTCTTTCTCTATTTCTCTAATTTAGCAACCTATCCTGTCATCAACAGCCGAAGTTTCTCTGCCCGTTGGCATCTCTCATCAGTTCTCGTGGCAGAGCATTCAACAATGAGCACGGAATTACCGACATGATGCGCAGACCGGTCATCCTTTATTTTAGCACAGGGGATAATTGCGAACCATTCGGATCTGTGTCAATGAAAATGACACCGGAGGAGTCCGAGGTAAGGCTTAATGTTGGCAGTGCAAAATGTGCGGACTACTCCTTGACGCGTCGAACTTGCCGAACTGATTGAATGGGGACAAGCTTGGCCGTGTTTTGAGCTGGGGGTTGGCCTGCAACCCTCCCGTAGCGATCAGACGACTCAAAGCCCGATTTATTAACAATTAAGGTTTAGAACTGGTTTGTTCCCTTACACTTGGGGCAGTACTGCTAAACCGAGCCAGATTATTGGGAGGCAGTGATGTTGCGTTAATGCAGGCCGGTATCCCGCCCAGATTCCACGTGCGGCGGTATTCATCTTTTTTCTTTTCCTTTCTCCACGTTATCAGTTATACAACATGATCCCTGAATGCTCGCAGGCGTAGTACTCCGGTCCCACTCCAACGGCTCCCACAAGACGTCAGTAACTCCCTGTTCCGAGCAGAACTAATCAACATATACCAAGCGTTGCCAAAGTTTCTTTTTGAAGCATGTTGAAAATTGACCAGCCGGTGGGAGAAGTGCACAAGAGAGTCTGGAGTTACAATGATGAATCGGAGAAGTCCGCCTTGCCTAATTGCATGGGTTCAATGCTTTTTTGGGCTGATATGGAGGATAACAAACTTTCAGGAACTGTACTGATCTCTCCGGCTTGGTCTAGTGCGACTGCCAAAATTGGTTTATTAAGGAGAAAAGGCTCCATCATGGACCCGTGATCATGTCAACGCCTTTATGTTCGGTAATACCGGTCTGGTTCGATCTTGATCGGCAGAAGGCAGCCGGCCGGATCGTGCCGTCGACAGGTTGCGTTCTCATAATTGGCATGTCTTCAAAAAGCCACCAGTCAACATGTCGCACGAAGCCTTGCCCTTCTGTTTTGTACTCCCCAGTCTCTCGTTAAACATGTTTGATTAGTAGTCTAAGTGGTCGCTCTTTATGCCATTAGACAACATGCTCTGCTCCAACCTGCCACTCTTTCTGAGCTATTGCCTCCTCTTTTCCAACGGCGCGTCAGCTCATCTATTACCACGAGCGGGCGATGATCCTGGGGGGCATCAATGGTTAGACCATGACAAAGTCCCAGCCCTCACCCAGAACGCCTCCCCAGGCCTGGAAGGCCAACTCGAACTTCGATTCAACCCCAGTCTCTACATCTCAGGAGGATGCGACATCTATCCCGCGGTCGACGCCAGCGGTAGTCTCGGGTAAGCTGAACCCTCTCGTATCACCCCATCCCGGTCACCGCCCACTAACACCCCCACCTAGCGCCGGCCTAAAGCCAACCGGCGGCGGACGAAGCGGCTGCGACAAAGGCGGCAACGGCCAGGTCTACGCCCGCCGCGGGACCAGCCAGGACCGCACCGGCATCATGTACAGCTACTACGTCCCCAAAGTGCGCTGGGGCAAGGGCAACGACGCGGGCCACCGACACTACTGGGCCAGCATCGTCGTCTGGGTCAACCGCTGGGGCTGCGACGCCGAGGACGTCACGTCCGTCTGGCCCGTCGGGCTCTCCTTCACGGCGGACCACGCGACGTGGCAGACGGCCAGCGCGGGGGTGACGACCTATGAGGCGTCGGGCGTCGGACTCGACACGCCCACGCGGCCGCGGATGCAGATCCACGATAATGCCATCACCCCGTTCGGCAACGGCGACGCGTCCAAGGCGTTTGGGCGGACGCTGGTGGGGTGGGACTCGTTGCCGGCGGCGGCGCAGAAGGCGTTGGGGGATGTGAAGTACGAGCATACGGAGGTACCATTTATTGATGCGAACTTTCAGAAGTATATGGATGCGGCGTATCGCGAGAGCTTCTATGGAGGTCTGAAAGAAGACCAGGGCTGCGATGGGGGAGGGAAGACGCCTACGACGGAGGCACCGAGCTCGACGACTACGGCGCCTGCGATTGACGATCCGCTAAGGTGACGCAGGCATGAGGCACGCTGGAGTTGGAAGCATTTGTTGCAAGTAATGGGAACGGCGTTGGATGGAACAAGGGGCGTCCGGTTGATTCAAGCAATCTATGATAAAGGATTTGGGAGAACGATGGTCTTGGGCGAGTAGGTAAACAAACGAAACAATTGCAACGCCTCTTCTGTATGGTAAAAACTCGATGCCAGCATTCTGAGCTACGCAAGTCATCAGCTACATGACTCCACGCGACAATCTTCTCCAATCACGAGAAAATAAGCTGATCCCCTCCGGGTGGCGTCTTTAGACTGCCCGTGATGTGGGGCCGTATTTTCGGGCTAGTACACCGGTCTCACTCAAGTATCCACGGGAAAAGCACATTGATCATAAAGATTGAATTACGCTACAAGGACATTATGGTTCGCAATGATGATATCCTGTACCTGTCATCACCAGTAATTATATACGTTGAACGTTGCTCTTCTAATCCGACTGCGATACCGTCTCACTGGTTTACCACGAAGAAGGTCCGATGAAGGAGCCATCGTCAGGAAGAATCTTCGTGACGGCAGCACCGTCGGA